AACCGTTGCCCTATGCCGAATTTCGATGGGTCGACGACATCTCTGTTATATATATAACATATATTTATATGTTATATATATAATTGTAATTGTACATATATTTATTATATAATTATATGCAGACGATCTTATGTAGGTGATATACATACATAGGTTAATTATAACATCGTAATTAGTACAAATAATAGTGCATTTCGTTAATAATACAATGCATTTGCACGAATTTCTTCATTTAACATATAATTATGATGCTCTAATACAGTATCTTATTGATAAACAAGTTATTCGTGATAATATTCAATGTCCAAAATGTAGAAATATTATAACTTATACAAATATATTTAAAAGCTTTATCATGCATTGCACTAATAAATATTATAAGACTATATCTGGACGAAAAAGACAACGGATAACATGCAACTTTAAAATAAGTATGTTGAATAACACTTGGTTTTCTAAAACTCATTTGGATATGGTAAAAATTTGTCGGTTTATTGGATATTTTTTAATAATTAAACCACCACGACAATCTCTTATATGTAATGAGTTGGAAATACATGATAAAGCTGTTGTTGATTGGACAAATTTTTGTAGAGAGGTATGTAAATTAATATTTGAATGATATATTCGGGTATATGTTTATATTTGTTACTTATACATGCATTTCTATATTTTTACTTTTTTAATATTTAGTTATTATCGGACTGGTTAATAAAAGAACAACAACAAATTGGCGGAGAAGGGATTATTGTGGAAATAGATGAAGCCAAAAGGTGTTTCGAGGAACAGTAAAGAATTTAGACAGACCGGGCATAGAGATACCCGCTGCCATAAAAATGCTTCGAAAAAATGCTTCCTCGAAAGAGAAGATATTTTTTAATAATTAAACCACCACGACAATCTCTTATATGTAATGAGTTGGAAATACATGATAAAGCTGTTGTTGATTGGACAAATTTTTGTAGAGAGGTATGTAAATTAATATTTGAATGAAATATTCGGGTATATGTTTATATTTGTTACTTATACATGCATTTTTATATTTTTACTTTTTTAATATTTAGTTATTATCGGACTGGTTAATAAAAGAACAACAACAAATTGGCGGAGAAGGGATTATTGTGGAAATAGATAAAGCCAAAAGGTGTTTCGAGGAACAGTAAAGAATTTAGAAAGATCGGGCATAGAGATACCCGCTGCCATAAAAATGCTTCGAAAAAATGCTTCCTCGAAAAAGAAAAAGAAGTATTTAGAAGAGGCCAGGCTTATGAATCACTTCCGACATAAACATGTGCTAAAATTGCTTGCCGTCTGCTTAGATGAAGATTCTCCATTAATCGTGTTGGAATTAATGGAAGTTGGTGATTTACTACAATATTTGGGAGATAGTCGAAAATTGGAACCATCAGATTCGCACGCTCTGCGTCTGCAAGATTTGTTCGCTATGTGCAAAGATGTTGTACGAGGCTGTTGCTATCTGGAACATCTGCGTTTCATTCATAGAGATCTCGCGTGTCGAAATTGCTTAGTATCCGTGAGAGATTGCAAGAACCGTGTCATTAAAATTGGCGATTTTGGACTAGCTAGAGATGTTTACAAGGATGACTATTATCGCGTGGTAAATACAATTATCATAAAAAAATGGAATTTTTTTAGAAATGTTCTTTTTTTGTCGTAATAATATAATACGTTATTACTTTGCATAGAACTTGAGAAACACAGATTATTTTTATTTATATAAAATAACGAGAAAGTTAAAAGAGATAAATAAACGTTTTCGGCATTAGCACAAAGATTAAAAATGGACAACTTGAACCAGAGATTACCTTTAGAATCATATGTTTTAGAAAGGACAAGGTCTTTTTCCTGTTTGCTGGATGGCACCGGAATCTTTGGTGATCGATATATTTACTTCCCAGAGCGACGTTTGGTCATTCGGGGTTCTAATGTGGGAAATTACATCGTTGGGTGAGCATTCCTACACTGGCAGGACTAATCTGGAAGTGATAGATTATGTACGTGCTGGAGGCAGGATGCCGACGCCTCTCAATTGTCCACCGACTTTGTACGAGTTGATGCTGTGTTGCTGGAGTCCAGCGAATGATAGACCGAATTTCAAACTTTGTCTCAAAAATATTATAGCTCTAAGAAATAACATAAAAGATACCTTACTGAGTCCAGTGGATATTATCTAGACAATAATACTAAATTAATTAATGACGTTATTTTCCAAATGATCCAATGCAAAGTTCTACATAGGAAAAATAATTTTAAATATCTAATATTCTGTTGTTTTCAAGTTTAATCTTAATATGTTAGATTTATCGATAGGAAGAAGAAAGATATCTTTTCTTTCGTTGCAAAAAATTTTGATGATTGAAAGACACAACACTTGCTCTTACAATTGTAAATAACATAGCTGACGCTAATACTTTCGAGTAACTGAAACGAAATCTAATGGATCTGATTATTATCTGTAGATTGCTACAGTAGTTTTGGAAATAATATCTACTTCATGTTATATTAGCAGCCAGTTTTATATTCTTATATTATATTTTTTCTTACTTAAATCCCAAATAAAATATACAATCATATTACATTAATATATACATTTTTTAAAATTAATACGTATTAAAAGAATTAAATTTTATAATGTTTTTTAAACTTTCTAGCAGTTTTTATTCCCTTTCTTTTCATTCACTCAAAATCTGGATGAACGATTGAATTAATTTTAAGCGCAAAAATATTTTAAAAAAATGCATATATATATATATATAAAACAAACCGGCTTCGATGAAAATGGCTTACCGATTCACTCCAACATGTACCAGAATCTAAGATTTTGCTTTTACTCTCTATAAAAAGAGATATTCTTTGGCATTGTATAAAAGAATCACTTATATTGTGTAATTTGAATTAGAAATTCTTGTATCAATAATTTACTAAATATTTTAATAAATATAGGCTAACATAGTTTGTCTCTATATAACTATACACAAATAGTAAAATAAAAATAAAAATAAATTTTTAAATATGATAAATGCGAGAAATTATATTTTTCTATATTTTGAAATGACTCTTTTGCTAAATATAAAATTAAGTAGTGTTTCTTCTTTACCTTTTTAGAACTAATTTACTTGCAAAGATTATAAATTCTCCAAATTATATCATAATGAAAAAGCAGGAATCTTATTGCGTGAGTCATCAGGAGGTTTTAAAATATTTGAGACATGCCCAGCATTCTGATATGTTGATATATTCACGTAATCATATTTTAATATCAACAATAATAGAAAAAAGTTGGTTGTTTATCTAAAAATTAATTAAATTTTTTTAGTTTAATACATGACATTCAACTTGAACTACTCGAATATAGCAATGAAGAAAAGTGATCTATGCAAGTGAAAAAATTAAAGACAAACGGAACGAGACTCTAGTACTTTCATGCACTTATAATTTAAAACGTAAATCAAATCGCATATTATTACATGTTTTATTGAGTATGACTTTGTGTCACAAAACAAATATTTTTTTCAATTCTTTTAGATACTATTTCAATCCTTATATACTAATTATACATGTATATCCAATATCGATAGTTTTCCGGATTTAATGCTGGACGGTCACGTGTATAAAAAGTCTGATGTGAGTTTGTCGGAAAAAAGAATTAAGGTGCAGCTTCAGCTGGTATTGATATATGGATCGAGTTATCCGATTAATAATGACAATTGTGCGATTAAAAATATTATTCAAAAATAACTAAGACCTTTTAATATGACTCAATTTTAGATACAGAATTAGACCTTTTAACATAACTCAATTTTAGATACAGAATTAGACAAACAGGCAGTTTAAGATTTATTTGATATATTTTTTCTTTTCTTGCAGATTAACAAATCCTTTACCATCGAATATGATACAAGTACCTGGTGTCAAAAGTATACACGAAACTACATTCCATCTCAGAGACGGAACCATTGTCAATGATATTAACATTTTTTTTGTATTAGATACAAATACAGCTTTTCTTTTTTGAACGAGAATTGTGATAATAATACGAATTAATAATAATCATGTAACATTGCTTTATAAACATCTCATCAACATTGAGCATCCTTCGATGCGCATTGTCAATATATCTTCTATCGTTGTGACATTGCCCATGTTTCATTTGCAGGTTCATTAACAATGTATCTATCTAAGATAACTATCTAAGATAACACGAATAATTTTAGACGTAACTACATATACAGTACTGAACATTGCAACAACATTGCTGCAATGTGTTGTATGAGTTTGTAATTATCATTGTGCGATAATACGCACCATTTAAGTCGTAAATTATGCAATTATAATGCTTGAGCTGGAAATAATATATAATACTTTTATATTACACTTTATAAATTTTCGATATTTTTATATATTTATAATTATTTATATAGAGATGGTAAATGTTCAGATTAACCTACACCTCACGAATCGTTTTCATTTTCACATAAAGTTTGTTTTCGTTGTATTTGTGTAAAGAAGATGTGGTAAAAGTGTTTGTTTACATTTCGGGAACGAAGCTTCTTGAATTTTTCCATTTTCCACGAAGCGAAGTTCAACGAAAAGCTATGTGTCTAGTTTTTTAATAGTGGAGCCCCCCCTGCGGAGGGGGAGGCGGAACATGCTGTCTCCACGCGTATACTTTTTAATGTGTAAATATAAGAACATTGCAACAACATTGCTGCAATGTGTTGTATGAGTTTGTAATTATCATTGTGCGATAATACGCACCATTTAAGTCGTAAATTATGCAATTATAATGCTTGAGCTGGAAATAATATATAATACTTTTATATTACACTTTATAAATTTTCGATATTTTTATTTGTGTAAAGAAGATGTGGTAAAAGTGTTTGTTTACATTTCGGGAACGAAGCTTCTTGAATTTTTCCATTTTCCACGAAGCGAAGTTCAACGAAAAGCTATGTGTCTAGTTTTTTAATAGTGTGGCCCCCCCTGCGGAGGGGGAGGCGGAACATTCTGTCTCCACGCATATACTTTTTAATGTGTAAATATAAAGTGGAAAGATGTAAACCTCTGACAGTGACGCAAATGTAAACAAAAAAAACATAAACACGCAAGTAAGATATAGTGAAAAGATCATAGAAATAAATGCGAAAATTATGATACTTCAAAATCGCATATCTTTGAAACCAGAAGAGAGCGCCTTAAAATTCAAAGTACGTATTACTTAGAAATGTGCCCTCTATAATATATGTAAAAATGGAAATGATGCGTTAGGTGTAAGTTAATCTGAACATTTACCCAATGAATTATAAAAATTAGAATATTTGCAAAAATACGATTTATTTTATTAATTGTGTTGTGATTATTGGCACGATTACGATAACTTTGGCCCTCTATTTGAAAGGTCGTTTCTGAAGACATTTTTGACAAGGAACACGGGAAAAATAGTAAAAAAAATTTCCGACCAATAGTTTTCGAGATGTATCACTTTAAAGTATTGGACATGATAATAAAACGTTACAAAACGGACCCAATGACCTTGACCTTGATATATGTTGTAAAGTATATGCGTGGACGCAGTGGGTTCCGCCCCCCGTACGGGGGGGCTCCACTTCCGAAAGATATAACCTAACCCAAACCTATTTCTGATTTAAAACTAAAATTTGGTTTGGGTTACGTTATATAACCCAAACCAAATTTTCGTTTCGAATTAAACTTTAACTTTAAATATCTCAAAAATTATAAGAGACCGCCGATTAAGTTATAAGGAAAAGTTACTCAGGATCATGATCTTGACAACATATGTCAAGGTCAACATCGTTGGGTCCGTTTTTATAAAGTTTTATTATCATGTCCAATACTTTAAAGTGATATATCTCGAAAACTATTGGTCGGAAATTTTTTTTACTATTTTTCTTGTGTTCCTCGTCAAAAATGTCTTCAGAAACGACCATTCAAATAGGGGACCAAAGTTATCGTAATCACCCCTGATTATTCAATTTCATTAAATTATACATATTTGTACGCGCAATAAATGTTTTCTAAATTTTTATTTTTCAGGTGCAATATTTCCTGGTTTTACTAGAGGGCCAAACAACTTTACCTACAAAATTTGTGATGCTAGAAGATTCGATTTTAAAAACATCGAAAAAGAGACACGCGCATAAGCTGATGGATTGCCAATAAGGTTACGATTCATTGGCGATCACTGGTAGTAGATTCAATCGGTTACCATTATTTTATAAACTCGGTTATAGAGTATGGTCAGTTAAAAAATCTGCGAATCTTTTATTTTATAGATTCCAGATCTTTTTTTTTTTTTTTTTTTTTTTTGGAAATGGGTAGAGCGTTGAATTAATATATTGGAATAAAGTCTTGCACAATTTTATTCCCTAAATGCTTGCTGATAATCATATCAAATTTCTTAATATCATAGTATTTTAACTAATTTGATTATATTTTATAATACGTTGTCTCAAAACATATACATTTATGTTAATAAATTTTTCAAGCATTCATTCAAATTTTATTTTTAATTCAATGTCAAAGATGTATTAGCCCAGTCAACGAAGGAAAAATAAAAAAAATAATTCCAAAAGTTTTGAAAATTTATAGAGATGTTCATTTAGGCTTACTAATGAACGTCTAAAAAGTCCTGAAAAATTGAAGATGAGTTATCGCCGCCATTTTGAAAAATAGATGAACTTTTTCGGTTTTTTGCATATATCTAGTAAAATATTAACTTAATTGAAAAAGTAGTTATTATTAAAATGAAAGTTTATTAAATCGTCTACAAAAAAAGGTATGATTCAATTTTTTTTAGCTAAAATAGTTTTCGAGAAAATAGGCTGCGAATATCGACTGAGTCGATCAATTTTTTATACTCACTTTTTGTTATTGACGCAGTCTCTTACTAGCACGGCTAGTTCAAGAAATATCCTCATTTGCTATAAAAAAATCCGATCAAACGTGTAAATCTTTGAAATCCTCTGCACTGGACGATGCTCTCAAGCTTGTCTCCGATCGCGGTTCGTCTGCATCTTGTGTGGATGCAAGAAGACAAGAATTAAATGCATAACAATTTGCGATAACTGTCATGGAAATTGTTTGAATAGCACGAGTACAGTCATTGACAAAGTAAATGACAATGAAATAGAAGATGCAGACGAACAGCGATCGAAAGCAAGCTTGAGAGCATCGTCCAGTATAGAGGATTTCGAAGATCTACACGATCGATCGGATTTTTTTATGGCAAATGAGGATATTCCCTGTACTAGCCGTGCTAGCAAAAGACTGCGTCAATAACAAAAAGTAAGTATAAAAAATGTATAAAAATTAAATATTCCTCTTCTAGTTCATATATTTACAATGAACATTTTTGTTCTATTATAACGATGAGGATCTTAAGGATGAACATTCTGGAGTCCTGAATTGGATTCCATCACTATAGTATACATATAAGACGTGTATACTTGTATACAGTTCACTGATTGACTCACGCGACATTCGCAGCCTATTTTCTCGAAAACTATTATAGCTAAAAAAAATTGAATCATACCTTTTTTGTAGACGATTTAATAGACTCTCATTTTGATAATAACTACTTTTTCAATTAAATTAATATTTTACGAGATATATGCAAAAAACCGAAAAAGTTCATCTATTTTTCAAGATGGCGGCGATAGCTCATCTTCAATCTTTTAGGACTTTTCGACGTTCATTAGTAAGCCTAAATGAACATCTCTATAAATTTTCAAAACTTTTGGAATTATTTTTTTCATTTGCTTAAAATAGGGCCTTCGTTGACTGGGTTAGTATGACATCATTGTGCATATCAGGCAAATATGCACTATTTTTTTCTTTAATTTTTTTCATCTTTTACATTTTAAATACGTGATAACTGTAGGTAACAAGCTACATCGTGGTATTATAATTATATATTTCATATATGAAATTGTTTATTACAGGCCCTCTTTAGTTATTTTCTATCATTGTAAACAAATAAAAAAATTTATAATTTTATATAAAAAAAAGTTTTCTTATTTAAAAAAAATATAAATATGCAGCAATCGAAAAAGAATACTTTACAACATTTATATATGTTATTTGTAGATTATAAAAATTTTTATAAACATTTATCATTCAAGTAAAGAACTGATAAGACTATTAAAAATAAAATTTAAATTGAGAGGGCTATTATAAGACATATATATGTGGTAAAGCGTGAGTTTCAAAAAGAATAACAAAATAAAGTTTATCAACTTTATTTCTCTCTTTCTCCCTTTACAATTTCAGTCACCTCTACACGACACCGCAAACGATAATACTGCTGTAACAACCGTTACAGAGACACGTATTAAGCAGTCGTGTGCCGTCATCGGTGGTATCAATTATTTCTAATCATTGCAACAGAAGTGCCATTGAAGATCTCATACGAAATTTTTTCCTAAAGTTGGAAATCGACGTTGTTGAAGTAAATTGAGTCCGTCTATAAAATCACGTGAGACTAACTTGAATTTTATTCCAAAATAATGTGTTCTTTCTCTGCAGTTATTTTCGATAGTTTTTTTAACAGTTGGCGTAAATATAATGCAGCTAGTATCTAATCGATGTCAAAAGAAGAGAATTTTCGATTAAAATTGAACCAAATAATTTGCCAGTACTAAATTTTTAAATTTTAAAGTTTTATCGAAGAATCTTAGTTAGTCATTTAAAATAACGGTTGATTCTTGGCATATAAGAAAAAAAAATAATAAAAAACTATATACATACATGTAACATGTATATTAAATTTAATCATTTATCTTTCAATTTACTTGATAGGTATATATTTTTTTATACATAATGAATTGGAATTCTGTTACAATGTATACAGGTAATAATATATCACTATTAAAAAAATGTTTCTTATATAATAATAATATACATATAGTTCTATATATATAATAATATATAAATTTCAGTACCTGAACCATAAATTATTAATATACTCAGAAATAACCGCTTTTTCTTGATTTCATAACGAACTATTTTCCCTTACAGCGTTATTTGCGATCATCATCGCTAACATTGTGTGTGCCTTCGATGCATCAATGTTATTTAGCGGCAAGACTGAAACTATATTTGCTAATCTATCTACAGCGATTATAACATATGTAGAATTAAAGGATATATCAAGTCTAAAAGATCCATCGTATATAGTATGTAATTGATGTATTTGTATCTTATATAAGTTCTGAGTTGCTCAATTTTTAATTTATGTTTTGCCACAGAAACAATTGTTACACAGAGAAAACACAGTATTTAGTCCTATCAATATAATTATGATAACATCCTTACTTTTAAACGGCGCTAAAGAAGGAGCAACAAAGAATGAATTGATGTCTCTTTTGAAAATTACTGATAATATACATTTAGACGGATTCCTAGCTATGCTTACTAATTTAAATGTAAGATAAAGAATGAAAAAATATACTATAATAAAAAATTTTTCTGTATAATGATATGTTTATATGTATTTTTAGGATATCGAAAACATCGAATTGCATCTAAAAACCGCAGTATATGTTCAAAATTCAGTTGAGCTAACGGCGGCTTTTTCATCAATATGCGTAAATAAATTTAATTGTTCGATTTCAAAAGTAGATTTCAGAAATAATATAAATGTTGCAGAAACTATAAATTCATGGCTGCGAAAAACAACAAATTACAAGATATTATATGACGTAATTTCTTCAGGTATATTATATAAATGTTTGACTAATAATTAAATATAAATAAATTTATAATAAAACTATCAAAAATAAAATAATGAATCAAAAAATAATCTTATAGAATATCAAGAATTAAATATTGAATAAAAATATAATTTTACAGGACAACAATATTACAATGATTATATTTTTGCCAAATGAAAAGATGGAACCTTGGAATCTGAAGTATCTGGAAAAAAAGATTAACTTTACAGAATTTAAATCAATTAGAACTGCACACACAAACAAACTTCAGAAAGCTACGTATTTATATTTACCTAAGTTTACGAGTGAATATACTCAAAATATAACAGATTTTTTTCGTCAGGTAAATATTGTAATTAGCAAAATCTGTTTATACAACTGATACGTAAGAGAGATTTTGAATAAATTCTAGAAACTAAAATTGATAATTCCTTGTAGAAGGGTGTAAATACGATGTTTGAGGATAGTGCGGATTTTACACGTCTCTCAAAAATTCCTTTAAAAGTGAACAATATTGTTCAAACAGTTTCCGTAAAGATTAACGAAGGAAGTTCGAAAGTTCCAAAAAGTAACTTATACATTTGTGAATAATAATAAGAATCTTTAGGCATATACTATGTGTATAAGTATTACAATAAAAAAATTTTAATTACAGTTGTCAGAAGCAGAGTAAGAAAACCACGGCGAGTAAGTCCACCGCAAAAGTTGATCATAGATCGTCCGTTTTGTTACTTAATCGAAGTGTACGGAGAATTAATGTTTGCTGGAACCGTGCGAGCACCAGACTTTATATTTATGAAAGATGAATTATAAATTCTATTACATTCTTATATTTATTAAAAGTTTATATCACGCAATGTACGTACAGCTTAATTTTTTTTAATTTTATCATATTAACGTATATAAAATTCAAGCATTAATAAATAAATAATCTGTATTTTGAAAATGTGCTTTGGTCATTTTTTGATAAATTTTCTTATTGCTTAAAAGTAGCCAAATAAATTTGCACTTATATGCATTAAATACAACAAAATAACTGTATATGCTTATACAATCGAGCAACTATATATCTATAATTATATAATGTAAAAGAAAGAGATAGCATATAGCATTTTTTATGTTAGATGCATTTTATATTAACTGATCGTCTTGCAGAAATACATTGTAAAAAATCTTTCTCAAGACTTAGGTGCTATATATATTTAGAAATTTATAAAAACAAATTTGTGTATTATATATTATTTACTAGGACACTACAAGCGTGCGCTATGCGATGGATTTAGAATTTTGATTCAATTAAATTATAATCCTATAGATTTTATTGAAGAGAAATCAGAGTTTGTTTCTGGGTTTAATATTGAATATTTTAGCAGTGAGTTTACATTAATTTTAGCTGAATA